GTGCCAAAGTACCTGAGGCGGCTGGTGGCAGACTATTTAGAGGAGCGTACCGTCGTGTACGAGGACCGAGAAGGTTATTTGAGGTGTCGGCCCATGTCGTGCGGTGTTCCACAGGGGTCTGTTCTTGGACCCCTCTTGTGGAACATAGGGTACGACTGGGCCCTTCGCGCCGATTTCCCCCCCGGGCTGGGTGTAATCTGTTACGCAGACGATACCCTCGTGACAGCCCGGGGGGCAAACTTCCAAGAGGCGGCGCGCCTGGCCACAGGGGGAGTCTCCCTGGTGGTCGGGCGCATTGAGGCGCTGGGCTTACGGGTGGCCCTAGATAAGACGGAGGCCCTGTTATTCCATGGGCCCCGTCGTGGTCCACCCCCTGGCGCCTCAATCGTGGTCAACTCGGTCCTCGTACCGGTTCGGGCCCAGATGAAATATCTGGGCCTGATCCTCGACGGGAGGTGGCTCTTCGACGAGCACTTCCGACAGCTTGCTCCAAAGCTGGTCGGCGCTGCGTCTGCCCTAGGGCGACTCTTGCCCAATATGGGTGGACCCAGCGTCGCGACAAGACGGCTGTACACGGGGGTTGTCCGGTCAATGGCGCTGTACGGTGCACCGGTGTGGGCGGCGGCTCTGACCGCCCAGAATAGGGTACGCCTCTGGCGCCCTCAGAGGGTAATGGCGGTCAGAGCCATACGCGGTTACCGCACCGTTTCTACGGAGGTGGCATGCGCGTTGGCCGGAACTCCCCCGTGGGATTTGGAGGCGGAAGTGCTCGCCGAAGTTTATCGGCGAGTGGCTGACTTCCGGGCGGAAGGCGGATTTCGCCCTCCGCCCGAGGATGTGCGCGAGTGGCGCGAAGCCGCTCGCCGAGCCACGATGGCTCGTTGGTCGTTCCGGCTGGAGACTCCACGCGCTGGCTTCGCCGCCGTGGAGGCTCTCCAGCCGGTCATCGCCGAGTGGGCAGGGCGGCAGCACGGGACCCTTTCCTTCCGACTGACGCAGGTGCTTTCCGGGCACGGTTGCTTCGGAAAGTACCTGCACACGGTCGCTAGGAGGGAACTGAGTCCCGCCTGCCACCACTGCGACTGCAGTGAGGACTCGGCCCAGCACACGCTGGCGGTCTGCCCCGCATGGGCGGCGCAGCGCCGGGCCCTCACTGCAGTCATCGGAGTGGATCTCTCGCTACCGGCCGTAGTACGCTCCATGGCCGGTAGCGACAGTTGTTTTACCGCGGTCGCAACCTTCTGCGAGGTAGTAATCTCGCGGAAGGAGGCGGCGGAGAGGGCCCGGGAGGACGACCTCCACTCGGACCCGATCCGCCGCCGGCGAACCGGGCGGCGGAGGCCCGCCTACCACAGCCTCATGCCGCCCTGAGTGTGGCCGCGGGTGGACGGGGTGGGTTTCCCCTCCACCCGCATTAGTTTGGCCAGCCGCGAGGGGGCGGCGTCCGCGTGTGCCGGACGTCGCCTAAAGAGAGGAACATCTATATTGAGACGGAGCCCGCACCAGGAGCGGGCTGGCGCTAGGAGGGGTCCGGATGTCTTAACAACAGCTGTTCCCGGATCCCTCCTGTTACAGGCGCAGAGTGGCACACCGTGTGGTTTTAGTCGGTCCGAGTCCGACACACCACCCCGCCGCAAACCCCGGAGGGGTGACGGTCCGAGGGGATTTCCACACGTTAAAAAAAAAAAAAAAAAAAAAAAAGGGTTTGTTTCAAGTTTTCCTTCTCTTAGCAGTGCTGTTGTCGGCTCTTACGACACCCACGGGATGAATCAGGGTGGTGACATTCCGTATTCTTAATATCTAGATCTATATTCCTAGTAACTTTAATTTGAAAAAATCTACATAACAAAAAATTGCTTTTAACTGATTGCTTCATAGTTCTAAGGCTTCCTGTTGTACACTTTAACTAATTGAATAAATTATTTTTTTATGTATTAGTGTGCAAAAAAACCTGCAACGCACAGTCAGGAATTATGTTTGTACAACAGCACAACTATTTCTGTAAGTTACTTATACCTTACAGATACAGTTATATATATTTACAGTATCCCTATTTAAGCCATTATGAGAGTATGTAGTATGTATGTATGTATGGTAATATTACAATATTACCATTACTGATATCATTTTTGTCTCATCTCTCATTATCTTTTATGTGTGACACAGAATACTCTGGTTTAGTCAGTATAAAAAAATTATGTTGAATGAAAGAAATACTAAAACAAAAATAACTTTTATTACCTTCAGAAATATGGAACCAATAACATTCAGTAGTTTAAAATAAATAACATTATTTTTCACTTGCTAATAAGTTAGGGTAGTATAGAGCTGTAAACAAATGATGTTAATGGTATTTATCAGGTGTGTTCTACATCAGACGATCTATAATGAAGTTTTATGAGCTTTATTCTTTCAATATTCAGTCAAATTTGAAAGTGTGATTTCATTATAATATGTGGGAGTTGTATATCAAAGTGCACTTACTATCAACAAGACTTTTAGTTCTATGCTTTGTAGTAAAATTAATATTAGATATGACATTACAGCTGTCATTGCAAACATAAATAATATATGTTTTTATATGGATTGAAAGAAATAGATATCATTTCTTTAAGAAACTAAATCTAGAACAAATGTAACAGTGATAAATTATCAGGAGATATTTTTTTTAATACTTATCAACAGTGAGCAAAGTAATCTTTATTGTTTTCATTGAGTAGACACAGTTATTATACAATATTATACAATACACAATATTACAATGTTAGTAACATCAATCAACTCATTTTAGATATACAATAATTAGAAGACAAAAGAGAAATTAGGCATCATATTTAATGTATGTATGTATATAGTAGCCCAAAACCTCCCTTCTAAGGAGAGGCCTATGTCCAGCAGTGGACTAGTAAAGGCTGTTGATGTGATTTGATGTGATTTAATGTATATTTACACCTGTTTTACATGTTTTGTATGACATAACATGTTTTGTACAATAATTTATCAATGAATATTAAAGTATAGAAAATGAATAGTACTTATTTATTGCCACAGACTCATTCCCTCTTATGCTTCCAGATGTTCTATGAAACCAATTGATTCTGATTAGATCGCACCGGTTATAATATATTGCCTTAGAAAACCGATCGCGAAATGATACCTTTCTACTAATAATTTTACAACTTCAAACCAAAAAAACATGCTACATTAGAAATTACAGCTATCGACACAATATAGCTAACCTAATATTGAATTTTTGAATGTTTCCAAACAGGTAAACATAGCAAACTACGATTTTCGGTTGGAAATAAATATCACTTAAGCAGAAAACCTATAATATATATGTCTAAATTTATACATATTCAAAACAACCTTACCGTTTAAAATATAACACTAACCAAACTATTTTATCAATTTTATTTTCGATAGGATACACTGAAACATTGGTATTATAACATCAACAAAAGTTTATTGAATTTTTTTTTTATAATTATTATTGACACCCTAGGAACATAGACAATTTTTTTGTTTTTAAAACTGGGTCAAGTAAGCGCGGCACGGGCATAAAAAGTCAAGAGAGTTTTCACTTTCATTAGAAAGATAAAATGTCGTTTGTTTTTTATTTAAATTTTATTTATAATAACTAAAACTGTATTTTAACCATTTAATAGTACATTGAAAAATGTAATAATTTTTGAATGTTATTTTGTGGTTAATTTACACAATTTGGCGCAATAAAAAGTAAAAAAAGTGTTGCTTATGAATAGAACCTGTATTGCCATTGGTTTTGTCAATGGCAATACAGGTTCACTTAATTTTTTATATAACTTATGTGTGTAAACTTAGTGAGTAAAATAAAATTTTAACATAAATGTAACTGTTTTCAAGGTAAACTAGCTAACAATGTAATTTAAAAAGTAATCAAAAACTATGCAATAGAAATTAAAAGCAACACTATTATAGTAAAAGGACAATGCACAAAAATTGAATTTTGAATTTCTCAAAATAGCTTTTTCCTTCTATATATTTATAGATCTGGGAGAGGGACTAAAAAGGATGAAATGCACTAATTACTCTTGAGATGCAGGTATTGGTATTGGTCGTGGACTACAATTTCCGCATTTAGACTCAAGAATGACCTCGACGCATATAGGACTATATGCGTCGAGGTGGTTGGCCAGGTGAGCTAACCAAGCTCCTTCCAGAATTGCAGAAGCTTCCTAATGCATACACAGGCTTCTAGGAGCGAAATTGTATCATGTATGAAACTTGCCCGTTGTGTGACCACGCCCTCCCATTCTAGGATTACGTGGGTGGCCGTTTCTTCTGTTTTCAGACATCTTCTGCAAAGAGAGTTGTCCGTCGCATAATGATGTATAGTTGTTGGTTCAGGGCTAGGTGTCCTGTTATAGTTCCTACAAGTATTAGAATATCTTATCTGCTAAGACTGATCGGTCTGCAATTTAGTCGTGATGAGACTTTAATCAGTACCAGTTTGGACTGTCTGGAGCCTGGGGGAGTTTTTCCACCTCTGGTTGTGTGCTTCAGAACTATGCTGTCTAGCTCAGGATCAGAGTTGGTTGAAAGGCAATGGCAGGAGTACGAATGGGCCGGTGGTCGGAACTGGCCAGCTTGAGTCGCAGGTATCCATTGGCAGCAGTATTCACTTACCATGAGGTGACCTATCCTCTCGTTTCACCATTAATATAAAAAAAAAGATATTACATACTTTAGGTCAGATGTCACGGCAAAATTTTAATTTAAAATCGTTTCTGAAAACCTTGAAGATTTACTATCTAAGGTATATGTATTTTGAATGTCTATTATTTAAGAGAATTTAATTGAAATACTCAGGATTATATGACATTATGAACAGATTCCAGAAAACTAACGAGAGGGTTAATGTAGACTTGTCTACGAAGGTCTTTTGTGAACGAAAAGCAATATTTTGCTCTATTTTCTGATAAACGGCAATATTGACCCAAGATATTGATGTATATCAGATGTTTTTGTCATTTCTGTCAAGAGTGTCAAGTAGTTTTACCCTTCGCAGTAAGTACCTAGTTATGTTTGTATTGCTGTTATAATTTAATATACGAAGAAAGTTTGCTAATTAAATTAATTTGCATAGTTCATTTCCGATGGTGCAAAACGTTTATCAGTGATACTATTACTAGTAGTGCAATACGTAGTGTTGTAAGATCATTGTTAATGTGAATGCTAAATAACAAAGTACAATGAGTGAACCAAATACACAGTTTGATGTTAATTTCTTAGCCAATACTGCTATGGCGGGAGACCAAACTCCTATGCCTGGGTTTGTTCCCAATACACAAATGCCGTCTACCTCCGATGCCCATGCTACGTTGCCTCCTCCTCTACCACCCAGACTCGATATGTCTCAACAGAATGCAATGGTTCCCAGCTATGGGTATGGAGGTATGGGTGGATACGGAGGAATGGGTGGATATGGCGCAATGGGTGGATATGGAGGAATGGGTGGCTATGGTGCTATGGGTGGATATGGTATGGGAATGGGGGGATATGGCAATATGGGTGGAATGTATGGAGGATACAACAGATATGGCTATGGTGATATTGAAAGTAGGTAAGTAATAGATATAAAGTACTTCTGATATATTTTTTCTAATTTAATTAACTCCTTACTTCTAATACTATACTTTTATGGTTAGAATAATTTTTGCTTACAGTCATGGATGTTTTAATTGTATATGAAGTTAAGAGTCCCTTTTCAAATGGATTATTACAATTTAGATGACAAGGGATGAATGATCTGTGTGGTATATACTGTTTTTACCTTAAGGATGTTGTTGTGATGTCAGATAATAGACTATTCAGTTATAGGTGTCTTTTGCATTGGAGCCCGCCTTTACTCTCACACATGCTTATTATGTACTTATAATCTGTACACAAAAATTGCATCTAAACATGAATGCCTGAAATGTTTTATATCCATCATTGAAAATCTCTAGTGTAAGCTTTACTTAGTCTATAAAATATTTTCCACTCAATTAATAGAATAATAATAATAATAGCCTTTATTCAGACATCTTATACAACACGTTTACAAATTGATTTATTGAAAACATTATTCTATTTGACACCTGTCTGTGTGCCTTTATGGGCAAAGGACTCCTCCAACTGTTTCCATTTTCCTCTATCTTTAGCAACTGTTGTCCATCCATTCTCATCTCAATTAATATAGTCTATATAAATTAAATAAATCAAATTGAAGTGTCTGTTTGTAAAATCCAAATAATAGTTTTTTTAATGCTCAGCCTGTTATTTGCACGATACCTGTCTAAAAACCAGTTTATAATTTTTTGTCTATCTGTCTGTCTGTTTATTATTATTAAATAGATATTTTGATTTATGGGTGAGCCTTATTGTTGTATATCTTATGTACAGACAGTTTTCACTACATTCATTTCCTTGTGTCATGTTTAGAGGTCTTCTCTTTTGTATTTGCATTGCTCAACCACTCAGGCAAGCAACAATTGATACAATTTTTTGTAAAGTAATAAATACAACTATTGAGGTTTTGGCTTAGTTCTACAATGTGATCTACATATAATATAATACTAGCTGCTCTCTGTCGTTGTTGTACCTTGCTCATCCCATGGGAACACTACACTTTTTCAGGATAAAAGTATCTTAAGTGCTATTCCAAACTAATAATCTATCTCTACCAAAATTCATCCAGAACCGTTCAGGCGTTTTTGCATGAAAGAGTACCAAACATCCATACAAACTTTCACCTCTGTAAAATTCGCAATCCTATTTTTGAGAAGAAAGTTAAGACAAATTTACCAGCGATAAACTTGATTTTTAGAGTGTTTATTCATTTAATATACTTAGTTATATTTATATATATTTTTTAATCTTAAAGGGTCCTGGTGTATTGTATAGTAATTTAAAGCTGGAAAATGTCTGTTTGCTCTCTTTGAAAACAAAAACTCAATTTGAGGGGCGTGCCAACTACTACTTAGGCTATGTTCGTCGGATAGCTTCAGCTTCATCTCTGACTTCCATGCTTGAACTTACACCTATTGTACTTAGGATACACAGGGACAACAGCCTGCCATTTGCTTGTATTTTTCCTAACCAATGAGCTGCGTTGACTGTCATTAAACATTTTACAGAAGCCCACTCTTAAGCATTTCTAGCCCACTCTATAGCAGAACAACATCAAATTTATAATATTATTAAATGTATAATTGCTAGTAATCAAGTAAGTACAGGTTAAAGTTTCAATATGTTGTTTAGTTATTTATGTCAGTTTCAATGATGCTTTAAATAATAAATTTGTTGACTCTCTATTATGACTCACCTGCAAAGCAGGCCCACTCCATACTTTAAAGATGCAAATTATCGAAACTTAGTATTAGTATTTAGACTTTGATTATTTGAAATAATTATACAGTAATTGGTATATTGTCACTGGTAATAAAATTTCATACCTGTCTTGATTTCTGTCTGACATATTATCTTGTAACATACTGGTTAGATCAATTTCATTTTTTCGTAGTTACAATTTTTATTTACATATGAGGTATCTGACTGAGTCCATTGCCTGAAATGATTATTAAAAAATACACATGCAGGCAAGAGTAGAGAGAGTTTCAGTCCTGTAGTCCTCGATTCTCTTTAGCGTCGGTTAGATTTAGGTGCTAGTTGGTTTGGTGGAGGTCTCTACTCATGTGTGGTGTAGCAAAATCCTGTCCAAGGATATCGTCAAGCAGTTGATTTACTATCAACTTGCTCACGCTGTGTTATTGTTCAATTCCTCATAGTTCTGATACAGATTGGTCCTCTCCATTGTCGGACGTAATTGCTTAGTTACTGACTGATCCGTGTTTTGACTGTCATTTTTCTGTGCTCTGTGTTTCTGAATTAAAGATTAAACCGATTATCTTATAATTATTTTCTTTTTTATTCTAGGTTCATACAGATGGCCGAAGAAAACACGCGGCCTACCTTTGATTCAATACAAAGTCTAGTCCACGCTGTGGGGAGTGTCGCCATGATGTTAGAAAATACATTTTTTGCTCTCACTAGCTCGTTCAGAGCTATTTTAGGTAAGCTTTGTAGAAATATTCTAATCAGCCAATACTGGACTCGATTACACAAGACACAAACCTAGGACCTTGTCAAAGCTGTTAGAAGATACTAAGCATATTGAGACTACCTGAGTGTTGATCGTAAATCGTTGTCCCTGATCTTGAAAACTATTGAGCCGTTTTATACCTCTGCTATTTATCATAAAGCCAGCGTTTAAATAGTTTTTTTCGTATGAAACTAAAAAAAAACACCATAGAAATATATTTAAGACCACACTAAAGGAAGTAGTACTGTACTGGATACCTACATTAGTTTAAAAACAGCGTAATGTATAATTAAGATTAACAACATGACATAGTTAGGTACCAGACATATATAATGTAAAAATGAATAAGTAAAATATATAAGTAGTATTTTTTATTTATTTAAATAGGAGTAGCAGAGAACTTTGGCAGACTTCGGTCTCTGTTTGCCCAATTCTGGTCCACGTTTGCGGTCATCAGGACCATCAACTGGATGATTAGGAAACTACTGGTCATAATGGGTATCCGCACCGAGACTGAATTTAAGGTTAGTATCATTGTTTGAGGTGCTTTGGTCCGGATGTCTTAATAGAAGCTGTCCACGATGCCCCCCAATTTTAGGCACAGTATGGCATTCTGTGTGATTTTAGTCGGTTCGATTCCGACACACCGTTCCGCCGAAAACCCCGGTGGGGTGATGGCCCGAATCCATACTAATATTATAAAGCTGAGGTCATTTTTTGGCTTATTTATTTTAGTTGAAAAATTATTTTAGTGTTGAATAGCTAATTTATCGAGGAAGGCTATATAATATCACGCCATGAGCAATAGAAACCGAGCATCAATCACTTCCAGAGTGAGTCTTAGGAAATGCCGGCTCCTTCTAGTTGTAAAGTCCGACTTGTAAAAATGTCTGAAAAGATTTATTTACAGAAATACCTTTTGAGACATTCAGACGAAGTTGCGCGGGTCAGCTACTGTCATATAAAACGTAGTTCTCAAAATCTATTCTGAATAGTCATTCTTAAAATGCAATAGTAAAATGAAATGGCATGTGAAAAACTTAATAAATTAAATTCATACAACACAGCGCTGCTTATAAATAATAAATACTAATAACCTCCGTTACAAACCCCTAAATTACTGTTTTGAAATTAAAAAAAATATATATTTATTTAATTTAAAAACGTAATATCCAAGAGCAAGAATTAAGGTGATCAGGTCCAAGACCACGTTAATCTAATTTATAGCTCGCCAGCTCTTACTCTTTTCTATTCAAAATCCTAAGTACCAATCTAGACGAAATGTCTATTGAAATTAAGCCTATGTGGCTTAATTTGTGGCTTGTGTGGGTAATTTAAATTGTGGCTAATAAGAGGCGACTTATATTTTTGACCTATTAATCAATCCATACAGCGCTTCCGATAGCAATAATAAAGTCGCTAGTTGTTTTGATGACAACGCAAAGAAATATAAAACGAATAGCTCGTAGCAAGAGAACAAACTAATCAATTACAATTTAATATAATCTTTTTATCCACAATCACATTTTCTTATCAGAAATAATAAGCCACAAAAGGTTACACAACTACTACGCGAGTGTAAAATATATTTGCGCTTCTCGCGCCTATCTAATAAATTAATGAACGCTGTTTTACAAACGTCGTTAAACAATTAAATTACTGTTGCTATCGACAACAGTTCATTAAAATTTGGGTAAGGTATGCAAGCAAGTATTTACACTATAATGAAAGCACCGTATAAGAAGGGAATCTACTCTCTCTACTCTACTAATACTACTCTAATCTAGGTTCACAACCGAAAATCAATGTGAATTCTCCCATGATTCTATTCTTCTCTTCCATCCTCTATATTGACCTAGTTAGTCAATTCCCTTATCATCAACAGCCTTTAGGAGTCCACTGTTGGACCTTAAAAAGGAGGTTTTGCACAATGGCCAGTCGAGTTGGTTTGTTAAAATCATAAGGGTTTGTTTCAAGATTTCTTTCTTTTTGCAATGCTGTTGTCCTGTGTAGCTTGCTCCTGTCTTGCGTAGTCGGCTCTTACGACACCCACAGGATTAATAGGGATAGAGACAATCCGTATTCCTAATTCGTAACCACACGTCAATTCTCACACAAATTACAATTGTACATCATGCATACACACGTCTATAACTTCCATGTTTCATCGTCATCATCATCATCTTATTACTTCTGGACATAGGCCTCCCCCAAGGCTCTCCACCACAACTAGATCTGTGCTGCCAGCATCCATCCATGTTTAACCGAGAATAATTTTAGTCCCACTTTAGCATATGGCTAAGTAAGCAATACCAGTGCCACAATTTTGTACGTACTAAAATTGCTAACTGAGATATATGTTTTGTGTATTCAAACTAACCATAATTGATTCTTCAATTTAAATCCTTATCAACCTCCATGAAGTTACTGTGTCAGTATAAAAAGTGGCCTAAAACTTTATCTGTTCTTGCTTATTATTAGTTTTACATTATGTTGTATTATTTTGTAGTACGTAGGTACTTTGATACTGTTTAAGCTTGTTGAATATCATTTATTACTATGAGTTTTAAACTTCTTGATATTCTTATCTTCTAGATATCTTCATGATATATTTTTTTCATTTTGGTTTGGACTCTTTGTAGTGTTTAATATTCCATTATATCCATATATTATATTTAGTCATATAAAGCTCCATATTAAAGGATAGCGTTCGAACGAAGTTCACACGATACATTTTACTCAACTCACAGCTGGTTTTACTCAACTTATTGGAGGATCCGGGAGTTCGAGACGTATAGCGTGGGAAAGACTCAGACGGGTCAGGTTCAGCTTTCACATATTACTATTATGTATATGGCTGTGATATATTTTGTTATTAACAAAATATCGTGATATTTTTAGTAGGAAAAACAATTTACACTTTGTACTCAAAAATAAATTGGAAGAGCATACTCTTGCCTTTAAGGCCGGCAACGTGCTTGTGACTCCTGAGTTGCGGTAATGAGAGGCGGTAGTCACTTTGCATCAGATTACACATCCGTTCGTTTCACCCTATATAAAAAAAAACATTGACCTGTTGATGTCCATGTCCCAGTGGTCTCTCCAACGATAGGACCGACTTACGGACACGTGACCCCGGCCTCTACGTGGCAGCACAAACGGTCTGAGTCCGGTTTTTAATCCAAACCTTTCAGTATCCTTATCCTTATGTTATAGATGAATATATGATCGTCCGTATGGTGACGGACTAAGGATACGGAGTGTCACTACCCCTATTCATTCCGTGGGTGTCGTAAGGGCCGGCTGATGGAGCAAACTACGCAGGACAACAGCACTGCAAAGAGTAGGAAAACTTGACACAAACCCCGGCCAACCCGTCTGGCCAGCGTGGTATAAGTAGGCCAAACCCTCCTTTCTAAAGAGAGGCCTATGTCCAGCAGTGGACTATTAAAGGCTGTTGATGATGATAAATATTTATTTACATTCAACATCACCACAGGGAAAAGTGCTATTGTCTTGAACTTACGGGTCATATCTATCAATAAGCTATCTGTCTTAAATCTAAAGATTATAACTATGACACGTGGATTGCTTAGATGTAATTATTTGATAAAAAAAAACAATTAAATTTTAGGTTGCTATGTATCTTATATCTATGAATTTAGATACAAATAAATGGTGAAGTATATTTTACATTAAAGGCATGGGCGGAAGCTGTGGCCGCGACACAGCCTCAATCATCTGAAACGCCAGCTCCCCAGCGCTCAAGCTGGCCAGTCCTTATGTTCTTCGGCCTTGTGGCTGCCGCACCGTACATCGTTCTGAAGATGTTCAGCTCTATCACCAAGAATATCCATGAAAATTGTAAGTATATGTTCTTTCTTAGAACGAAGCAATAAGTACCATTTCAGAAATAGATTTTTTTGTTGAGTACCGACTTTTTTAGAAAAAGATAGTTAAGCTGTTAACAAAGTTTACAAGTGGTTGCAATGCAATGTTTATAATCATTTGTGTTACCTATATATATCAAAAGCTACAGTCAAAGTACAGACTTCTGATAGCCAGACTTAAAAACTTTCTACAATAGCCTCTTTATAGTAGTAGATTGTAGGTCGTTTATCAAAATGCTACTGCCCTTCGGAACGGAGCACTATTCACTGTGACCAAACAAACTTTGCTTGCAATCATCACATTATGCCACACCATAAAATCCGTGGTAATCTAAGGGAGCAAGCTACGCAATACAACAGCACTGCAAAGGGAAAGAAAACTTTAAACAAACGAACAAATGCCAAAAAATATAGAAAAAGGGCATAAAAACTAATATTTTATCTCTATTACCTGATAATATTTCTTAAACATATCTGATTTGTATCTGAGTGTTATAGTCAACTTATCTGATGTCATTGACGTCTCAAGTTACTTTTAATTTTACGCTTACATAAAGAAAACGTGATGTTGATAATAGAAATCACCTGTCCTATCTAATCGTGATAGGTATGTGGTACTTATATAATCTTCTTTGTACTGTCAATTACATTTATTTTATTAGATACGCAGTGTACTATAAAATAACAGAATATGATACTTATTTGATAATATTTGTCAAAATAATGTTATGCATCAAATTATATAATAATTTTAGGACACGAAGCATAAATATTTTTTTAATGATAATGCATTTTGATAATACATTAACTAGTCACATGTATTTCCTGCCAATATCTAACACGAGTCTCTATTAAAATCTGTTTTAAAACTGGTAATATTTGATGATAACTTGCTGCCGATTACGCTTTTAATCCATTGATGATCGAATGTTACAACGATGGTCAAATGTTCCCGGAATGACTAGGGCTGATCGCCGGTGATTGTTACTCGAAGCATTTCCCGCAAATTAATTTATCTGTGCGTTTTATATAATAATAATAATAATCTACCACATTCACACAACGCCATCTAGTCCCAAACTAAGCAGAGCTTGTACTATGGGTACTAGACAACTGATATAATACATATATTTTTTTGTAAATACATACATATTATACATAGAAACACCCAGACCAAATCAAACATTAAATGTTCATGCACACAAACGTTTGACTTGAGCGGATATCGAACCCGCGACCTTTGGAATAGCAGTCCGTTGCACAAACCACGACGCCATCCGATCGTCATAGACATTACAGCGGTTACATCCTAACCAGTACACTACCGACGTGAACCCACTCCTAACATAAGCAATTTAGCTTAGCGGGAGGGGTTAACGGGAATACCGGTGATCTTGGTTGCTAAAGTCTGTTTTTTAATCTCGTAGACTAAACTGACATTACGAGTGTTCTCAGTTTATTGCAATTCTTAAATAGTGATGTGGCACAACCGAAACTTAGCGTTAATAAAATCAAGTATCGTTTTTTTACAATAAGTTATCCTGAAATAATGTGTTTATCCTGAAATAATGTGTAGGTACTTATTTAAAACGTAATAATACAAAATTAATAATGTAAAACATATATTTTTAATTACATAACTTAATTACAGGTATCGCTTTAATCTGATTCAGATAATGACTCCATGTCTGAGGAATATTCTGAATCATCAGAATCGCCACCTACTTCTATGATAAACCTATCAGTAATGTCATCGGTTATATGGCCCAGATGACACATTTGATCTTCAATTTTAATTACATGGACTACACAGTCTTTCCACCGCTGCGTCACTTGACGAAGCCCTTCTTCAAAAAGGCTTCGTACTTCATACATTTTAAGTGTTTTATTATTTTTAGCGACATGCCCTTTACTTGAGCCCAGACCAACTCAATCGGGTTTAGCTTGCAGTGGAAGGGCAGTCGCAAAATAGTGACACCCCGTTCAGTAGCCATCTCGTCGACGACATTCCTTTCATGGGCTTTTTTGTGCTTTCGGGCAATTTCATTTAATTCGGGCTTTATCATTGTCTCGTCATATGAAATATTTTTTGATTTTAGCCAATCTTGGATTTGCCCTTTTCGCCAACTAGAAGTAGGTAACGATTCCAGTTTCCTGGTGTGATATGGAGCATTATCTATTACAACTACTGCGTTTCCTTTTAATTTCTGAAAAATATTTTTAACCAGTTTTCGTATATATCAGAAGTCATCTCCTTGTAATCATCTAGCCCCTTTTTCGCTTCGAATATTAATAGACCATCATCCACGAATCCCTCTTCGCTTCCAACATGGGACACAAAAAAAACTACATAAATGATTATGCGTCCATCATAAATGATTCTGCGAAAACAAACGTAACGTAACAAACGTTTGGCAACGTAACAAAACCACAAAACTTAACAAAAAACAAACAAACAGAAACAAACTCAACGAAAATATAACAAATAGCACTTGAAATTGTATCAAGACACAACGGACGCATTCGAACACTTCAGAGGTTGAAGGACGAATAAGGTAAACAAAATGGCGTCCAGTGTTGTTCCTGTGTATGTGTTTAGGGTTGCCGTATTCAAAATCTTTCAAAATTATCATAATTATTTTAAAAATTGCAGTTGTTCGTATGGTGCCAAGTTCCATAATTGCCGTATTTTTTAAGTTCTGCCGTTTCGTAAGAGAAAAGGGTTAAGATTGCCGTTTTAACGCGTACGGGAACAACACTGATGGCGTCTATAATTTTTTTTTTGTTTAATTTAAAGGCATCGAAACTTGGTCGGATTACGCATGACGTTGCGTGGTCAGATTTCCCTGGCAGTTTGTAGCACGTCGTGCAGCCGTGTGTACGTACGTGAATTTTAAATAATATAAAACTTTTAAAGGAAAATAAATTCGTCTATTATAAATAAAAAGTTACGATTCAACAAACCGGTATCGTAGGTACAACACTGCACAAAAGAGCTGGCAACATTATTTGTAAATTTGACATTTGCATGTGTCAATTTGGTCTACGAGATTAAAAAACAGACTATAGTAGACCTTTTAAAAAAAAAACTACATACCTTATTCAACATTTTCTTTTACAGTGCATGACCCAACCACGTGGCAGGAGCCACTTCGCGCTATCGCGCGCCACTCATTCCAAGCAAGCAGCCCCCAGGAAATATCTTTCGCTGAAAACGACGCCATTACCGTCGCTCCTCAAACTCTCCAGGGTCACTTATGGAACTCAGGATGGCTGATGGCGACCACGGATAGGAGAACCGCTGGTTTGGTACCAGTAAACTATATCAGGATTATAAAGCCAACGAATACGATTGAACCTCAAGAAAAGGAGCCAGAAAGTGTTAAAACTGAATTGTAATAATTTGCTGGATAAAACAAATTGTTTATGGACTGTCAATTGTTATAACTATGTGGGTAGACATATAGGTTCTATATGTGGCACGACTCATATGAGTTGCTTCTACTGTTGCTATGCTTTGTTAAGTGCAGTAACGAGTTCTCAAGTTAACATATATCAAAGTCACAAAAATTAAACACAACTAGGACGCGACTCCCTTTTTCGAAGAATGTTTTTTAATTCTAAGGCAGCATAAAAAAACGAAAATATTATTCATTCGATAAGTGGCATTAAAATATATTTTGATTTTACACTTTGAATTTCCGCGCGTAAATTGATCAAAAGGCTATAGCCCTGGTGCTTATTCAACACGACGGGTAGTAAAAGCATTATTGCAATTATACTAAATTTAAAATATGTTATTATCATTATGATTTGTGATGGACAGGATACACGCACAATACCGCCTACGATTACCTAAATTTTATAACATTAGTAGCTTTTGCCGACGACTTCGTCCGCGAGGTGGTCGACATCAGATCGTAGAGGTTACAATGGTGATGGAGAATATAATTATATTGAGTCTTCGGAATCGATAAGTTAAAAAAAATAGTTCCCCATACAAACTTGCATCCATTTTTAAGGGTATTTTTGAAAAGTATTAACAACGTGAGTTTGAAACGCTACTACAAAAAATAACGAGGTTTAAAATACATTTTCAACCCCTATGGGTAGAAGTTTAAAAAATCCTTTTAACAAGAAAGGATTTTTACAGCTTCGTCATCGAAGGAAGATTTTTGCAAAATTGTATGCTCCTAGACCCAGCGGTTTCAGCTGTGCGTTAATTCGATCAGTCAGTTAATCAGTTTCTTCTATCATAGAATTTACATTTCGTAATTTTGCAAAACTAAAATCAAATGTTTGGTAGATGTTTTTGCTTATTCTGATGTTTTAGTAAATCACATGGGAAAAATGAAATAAGTATTTGCAAAAATCTAAATTTGTTTTGGTTTTTTAGTGACTTACGGAATTACGTTTCGTATATTTATACATCAGATAAAAGAGCAGGAAACTGAAATAAAACATAAAATTTAATATCAGAGCGCCTAATGTGAGTCTATTTCACATCTACTCGATCGTTTTCGGGGACCGCGTTCGGCGTAGCGTTTATTTCGCACTAAATACACTCTACTTAGGTCCCCTGTACTTATGAACTGAAAACAAACTTTTTAGGATTTCCAATTGCTTAGGATATTAGGGTTTCTTACTATAATTTTTTTATGTTCATATTTTACGTTCATAAAGTATAATACTATACTGACACTTTTTATGCGCATGTTTATTTACCTACTGTGTAAGGGGCATTTATGAAAATAAGATCAGTGACGACAGTAAGTCTGGTTGACTTAGACGATACACTTATATATAGACGATACACAAATATTGTTGATCGATATACGATTGTGACTACCTTTCTGTGTCACGCAGAATAAAATAAGCTAAATATGTTATATATATATATATATATATATATATATATATATATATATATATATATATATATATATATATATATATATATATATAACATATTATACATAACATATATATATATATATATATAACATATTATACATAACATATATATATATATAACATATTTAGCTTATTTTATTCTGCGTGACACAGAAAGGTAGTCACAATCGTATATCGATCAACAATATTTTCTTTTATAAATTTGAATCGATATCATTCTTCGGCACAATTGCGATTCGGCAAAAGTGGCACCTTACAGAATACCGGTGTTAAGCAATTCTTTCTTTGCTTTTCAACGAGTGAATGAGGTCACCGCAGTCTGACCCTCCCGCTTCCTGATTCTGGGGGAGAGAAGAGGACTCAAGAGGCGGCAACACATTTTTGTCACTCACCATCAGGTAACTTGCTGCTCGCTTGTAATTCGTAGATTAAAATTTAATTGTGCAAAAGACAACGAAATAGACCGCGAAATGGTTGGGCCGTTAGCCGAAGTTGCCGAGAACCTCCTTGCCATTTCGCCTAACCTTTTGGAAAGTGATTATCGCACGTGTCACACAAGCGCGTTTGACCCTTTTGAATGTCCTATCGGTCGAGAATTACCGCAAAAGAATTATTTTTTTGCGGTATTTCGCGTTGCCTTTAAGGTTGGTTTGGTGAAGTTGGTTTTTTGAAGGTCGTATCAGTCGAGAAATACTGCCAGCGGTAATTTATTTGTGCAAGGCAAGTGTCTTGAAAAGCGGACACCGGTGGAATGCCACTTATCCAAGTCCAAGGGATAGGGATGAATTTTTTTACCGTGTGGAACGATGGCAAGTTACGGCCGGTATTAGTCCGAGCAGCAGTTAGCATTATTTATCATTGCACTCGTATTTCACTTAAACATTTAAGACGTCAAGGCAATTCAAGCTCAATGGAATACTTACCTATTACGTGATAACATTATTTTCCTTGTCTGTATAAACATAATTAATGATTTGAAAAGATCCGTATAGGTATAATCATTTATACTAATTAATATATTTACTTCTTGTAGTCATACGTCAGTCATTAAAATATTAAAAGATATTGTATTAAATTTAGAGTTAAGCTTGACTAGTCGGGTAAGGTAACGGGTAAAAGTTCTTGGTATCGGCAAATAGTTTATATTCTGACAACGTATTTTGTGACTACTGGACTACAATCCATAACAGGATTTAATACCTAATGCTATTCCTGAGACAAAGGTTCACTATAAACGATCGTGAACAACTGCAGAAATCATTGTCAAGTAATCTGCATAATATTTAGTTTAATTTAATTGAGCTCTCTGCACTTTGGAGACTAAACTGTAAATATTCATGTTATTTTATTGTGGGATGGACTGATTAATAATAAAATCGTAATTACAACTATGCTTTTTATTTTATAATACCTAATAACAATAGATAATATGAAATTAAAAAAATGTCTGGTGTTCGAAGCAACGCCGGAATCATTCCTTATATTCAAAAGGCTAATACTCGTAATAAAATCGTCTTCGGTCTCAATTTAGTTCCGATCAACTTGGTATTTTTGTAGTAAAGTATTAAACATTCAACGTTGACTGTAATATGATTATATCGTATTGTTAACGAAAATTAAATCGGTAATCTGCTAGTCTTAATAATACTTTACTATTTTGTTACGAAAACACCTTTTGTGACGGTTGTGAGATCTAAAGTTTTATTACGAGAATTGGCCTTCTGATCACTAGAGAATTGAAACGGTAATTTCATAAATCTCATAAGTCACAAAATCAGTTTTTCAGGAATCAATAAAAACTGTTTCATGCAAAACGAGTTTTAAAGGTATTTTTTATGCCTAATTTAGTATTGGAGTAATAAAAAAAAATCGAAAAGCCTTCAAAGCTTATCTATACTAATATTATAAAGCTGAAGAGTTTGTTTGTTTGAACGCGCTAATCTCAGGAACTACTGGTCCGATTTGAAAAATTTGAAAAATTGATTTGAACCTGCTGTCAACGTATCAGCACAACGATTGTCGGATCAAGTACGAGCTATACAGCGCTGTCATCTGCTGGATGATGCAGTACTTGAGAGGATACGCTCTGACATACGGAATAGCTTGATTATCCCTTCTTCGTTACACACTGTGGATTTGGTAGCTAATAGCACACCTCAGTTAGTATCACATACCAATGATGGTGATGAATTAGTGGAGGGTGAAGTTATATCTGTAAGTACCCAATACAATGACAGGATAAGGAGCGCTTTGGAGGATGCGATTCTAGAGTACAGGTATGTGAATTGGAATAATAGACCCCGATTGTCCCGTTTGCCCATTCATAAACGAAATTTAGCGCTTGTGGGTGCCCTGGATTCGTTATTGCCTGATTATTTAGACAATAGCGAAGATCTTGGTGATACACATTCTATTCTGTATTGTGCGGCTGTTGCAGTTTGTCGAGTAGCTGGTGTTAATATAGTTGAAAATGTCACTACTACTCGACCTAAATCAACTGTACCAGCTTGGCAGTGTAGAATTGAACGTCGTATTGCTGAGACCAGGGTGCTTATTGGTAAGCTAATTAGTTTTCGATCAGGGAATACGCGGCCGAGAGTGATGCGCTTTGTGAAACAGGCATTCTTGGGGACTACCATTGGTCCTCAACAGTACATGTCATGTGTCACAGAGCGCATAGACTTTCTAAAGCAGAAAATTTATGCATGGGCAAATAGGATAAGACGGTACAAAAAACGAATAGATCGGTATAATCAGAATCGGATGTTCCAAAGAAATGAGAAGTGGGTGTACCGGAAATGGGAGGAACCGAATCCATGTGTGAGTCATGGGCATTTGCCAGATGAAAATGTCACACATACTTTTTGGCGGAACATCTGGTCGGTGCCTGTCACTCATATAGAAGGTGATTGGTTGTGGGATGTCAGACGCTCATGTGAGTCTATAACACCTATGGAACCAGTTATAATTGATAAAGATGATGTAAGCTGTGCAGTTCGTTCATTACCGAATTGGAAATCACCTGGTTTAGACGGACTGCACAACTTTTGGCTTAAGTGGTTCCGAAGCTCACATGCGTGTTTGGCATCTCAATTCCAGGCAGCTTTAAATTCGGGTTCATTACCCCAATTTTTAACCACTGGTATAACCCACTTACTCTATAAGTCTGGTAGTGTCATGGATCCCAAAATTTTTAGACCTATTACATGTTTACCAACCATGTACAAACTTCTTACATCTATTCTGAGACTCAAAATTACTTTACACATTAATAATAATTCGATTATGTCAGTTTCTCAGAATGGATGTAGAAGTGGGAGCCGTGGCACTAAAGACCTCCTTATTATAGACAGGGCCATTAGCCAACAGGTGCGTCGTAATCGTAAGAGTTTGGCGACATGTTGGATAGACTATAAGAAGGCTTATGACTCGGTTCCACATACATGGCTTTTGAGGGTGCTGGAGTTGTATAAAATTGATACAACTCTGTGCACTTTCTTGAAGTCATGTATGGGGCAATGGAGAACAGTGCTTCGTTATCCAGGATGTCGGCAGACGACGGTAATTGATGCACCAATAAAGATCGAGCGGGGTATATTTCAAGGTGATAGTCTGAGTCCCTTGTGGTTTTGCCTGGCTTTGAACCCTCTTAGCACTTTATTAGAGGGTTCAGGGCTAGGCTATAGGTTGCAGAAAGACGATCAAGTTATATCTCACCTTCTTTATATGGATGATTTGAAACTACTGGCCGCCACCAAATTACAATTGTCAGCGTTACTGAAGGTGACGGAAAACTTTAGTAATTCTATCAAAATGGAATTTGGTGTAGACAAGTGTGCAGTCATGTATGTAAAGAAGGGTGAGATAGTAGAATCTGAAGGAATAGAGCTTTCCGATTCAACAAAACTCAGATCTTTGTCTGCCACTGAGACTTACAAGTATTTGGGTATATCACAGTCGTTAGGCATACCAGAATCTGACATGAAACAAACGTTGCAGGAACGCTTTTTTGTCCGTTTGAAAAAAGTACTTAAAAGTCTTTTATCGAGGGGCAACAAGGTGCGAGCCTGCAATGGTTGGGTCATGCCGATTGTGATGTACTCCTTTGGTATACTTAAATGGACTCAGACCGAACTAGATGCCCTTGATAGGAGAGTCCGTACATTGCTGACTGCATTTCGAATGCACCACCCACGTTCATCGGTTATGAGATTGTATATCCCGCGAAAGCTAGGGGGTCGTGGATTATTAAATATCAAGACCCTACACAATCGGGAGATATGCAATCTCAGAGAATATTTTCTACATACCGATGTGGGAATGCATCGCAATGTAGTTGCAGTGGATATCGGATTCACCCCGCTCGCTCTGGCTAAAGAGAATTGGCGCAAACCTGTAGTATTTAGTACTAATGATCGTAGGGAAGTATGGAAGGGCAAAGAGCTCCATGGCCGGTTTTATCGGGCCCTAAACAGGTCCGATATAGACTTTAAAGCATCTACGACTTGGCTACGGTATGGTGATCTCTTCGGAGAAACTGAAGGTTTTGTTTGTGCGATTATGGACGAAGTTATCATGACGAATAACTATCGGAAATATATCCTGAAAGATGGTACGGTTGACATCTGTCGGGCATGTCACCGTCCTGGGGAATCAATCAGGCATATCATTTCTGGTTGTTCTCGTCTTGCTAACGGTGAATATTTGCATAGGCACAACCAAGTAGCCAGGATTGTACACCAACAGCTTGCCCTTAAATACCATCTTGTGAATCTAGAGGTGCCATACTACAGGTATGTGCCCGACCCAGTTCTCGAGAATGGTCGGGCCACGTTGTATTGGGATCGATCTATTATCACAGACAGGACTATTGTTGCTAATAAGCCTGATATTGTAGTGATAGATCGATTAGAGCGCCGCGCAATTATTGTTGATATCGCCGTTCCTCATGACGAGAATCTCGTGAAAGTTGAAAAAGAAAAACAAATAAAATATTTGGATTTATCTCACGAGATTGTCGATATGTGGAATGTCGATTCAGTGATAATTGTTCCGATAGTCGTATCTGCTCACGGATTGATAGCCAAGAGCCTCGACCAACACCTTAAGAGGCTCACGTTGGACGGCTGGATCAAGGGTCTGATACAGAAGGCAGTCCTCCTTGACACGGCTCGTATAGTGAGGAGGTTCCTATCTTTGCAGTCCTAACCACTGGTGTCTTGGTACCTGTACCCGATGTCGGAGGTCTACTATTTTTTATATTTTTAAATGTATTTTTATTTCTTTTGTAATATATTTAAAAATGTAATTAATATGTATATATAATTTAATAAAGAGAATAATAATCATATTTTTAATAATTATAATCATATTTTTTATTGCTTATTACCTATTGACAGCTTTAGTCAGTAACTAATGTTGTTTATGCAATGAACATCTTTTACAAAGTATTATTTAAAGAGGAAGGAATGTATAGACACGTGGTTTATACCCAGAATGCGCACCTACCTTTAAGAAATCATTATCAGCAAAAAAAAATGTTTAAAAAAATATGACGAGGTTTTTGAAATAACCGATTCAATTGTAGAAGCTCGTGGCAACCGACATGCAAGCTTTCATCTGTTGAGTTATTTAAGTATGTCAATAAAAAGTCACTCGCGTTTTGAAATCACCACCGTCCACCAAGTTGTCCAATGTTTGTATTACAGGATGCTATAAACAGACTGGATAGCGTAGTGGATTAAGCGGTCATCTCGCCGCTTCCTACCGCGCTGAGTGTTATTGGGTTCGATCCCCACATGGAGACACCGTGGTTCCCACACACGAGGAGATCATCTACAAGCCTTAGATATCCCGGGGTACTAGTTTCCACTCCTAGGGTACACCTAACACAACGTTAGGTGGTATACGCACAGACAATAAGGGGATAGAGTGGAATGTCGAGTGTTGTGTCCCCTGGAGGATCGAAGTGGAATAGTGAGTGTTGTACAATCCCCTGTAGGATCAAGTCAGCGGATTCAAGTGGTAAGAGCGGAATTTTTTAAGGCCTGAGTTGGCCGGCAGCCCCTCCCGGGGAGCCTTGGGGTCAGTTACGGACTGTGTCAGTATTAAACATACTCGAATTCTTTTTTCCCTCCATTTACATTCACCAATCACCAACGTTGATTTCCATTATTTTTATATTTTACTACAAATTGTAACCATCAGTATGAGTTCCATTATCAGCAATGTCAATTTAGGTTCAAGAGCGACACGTTGCATCATATGCTTTAAATAACAATGAAAGGCGGCAATATTTTTTTTAGGTTTATTGTAAAGTCATAGTCCTAAGTTTACAAGTAGGGTTCGGGGAACTCAAAAGTGACTTCGCGCCCCGTAAGCTTCTTGTACACCGACTGGAAGGTGTCCACCTGTAATAGAGACAACAATAAGAGTTACCAATTTGCAACATCTATTATAAATTCATTTTACTTTTGATCGAGCTTCACCTATATAATGGATTATACAAAAAACGTGTGCGTTACCCCAGCAAAATAATGTCGAAAATGGTCATTTAAACGTTATAGATAATTAGTTGCTCCCCTTCTGTAATTGTTAGGCACATTTTTAAATTTGTTTCTCTTAAACTTTTTTAGTTATTTCAAAAAAACATTTCCTGCTGGGGTAACGTTTGAAACGTTACCGCAGCCAGACATTTTCTTTTTTAATTGTAATATTGAAATAAATTTTAGCTAGATAATTAGTTATCTGGACTAGGTAAATGTTACAACTTATTTGGTACTTGTATTTTCTTCGGCTGCGAAGTTATTCGAAATCCTGCTGGAGTAACGTTTGTGGGTTTGCTGGATCTCTGAAACGGGTAAGCGGATTGTAACCATCTTTTGTACATAACTTCTTAAGGATTAGTTTAAATTTGTTCGACAATAAAATAACAAAAATAATGGACCGTTTAAAAATTATTTAGGTAAGTATGAAAACACTTCAATACGTCCTAACACTTTAAATAAGACTTCTAAAGACTTACTTCAAACGTTATTCTATTGCTTGTAACTACCTTCAAATGTATACGAATTTTCGTAAGAATACTATAAGTGACTAAAAAGTTATGATGAAATGTAGCTCTCCACGTTCACGATCACAATGTGTGCGGTCTTTTTTGGCCACCGATAAACCTGTGTGTGGTGTATATAAACTGAATGTTATGCCAATAATTAGTTGTTTAGTTCAGTTGTCTACCTGTAAAATTTCAGCGTAGTACATATAATAATTTACGAGATAATTAAATAAAAGTCATTAGAAGGTGCAAGACCGTGGTAACCCGACCATGTTTAGGTGGTTACAAAAAAGCGATCACCCAGTACATTGTGCTGGCTTTTAAAATATGTAGGATATTATTTGCAAGTTTACTACGGATATGTACATAAGTGTGACAAAAAACTACATGTTTTTTAAATAATTTTTATTTAGAATTGTTTATTGCTTAATTAGTAATCAGCCGGGAGATTAGGTATTGTTTTGAATGCTTTTGTTTTCTCGTAATGTTTAGGTGAATTGTTTATAGTTATTCATAGAATTGGTACCTGCGTAGTATTTGTTAATTGAAGTTTAATTTTAGGGTAGGTATAGGTAATTTAAGTTTTGAAGAGTGTAACGTATGCGGTGTAAATAGGTATTTTGTGAATAGATGGGGATTTTTTTAAGTGATGAATTGACTTAGGCTAGCATATCGCGAACAAACTCTGTATTGCAATATAGCGGAAAGCGAAAGCGGAAGCGCACACGCACTTTACAAGACGTATATTATCTGCCTAAGGGTCAAGTTTAGTGCACTAGATGCAAATTGCAAACAATGAAGTATCCCTTCGCCCCTCCCCTCCCGCGTTCTAGCTAAGGATGCATTATCGGCGATTCTTGATTGACAAATATTATCTGACCAATAATTTTATCTATAAAAATGTATCACTTTCACTCGATAAATTAAATTACCGTTATTATATCAAAATATCATTCAACAACTGTTCGTTTTTAACAGAAATCAACAGTCACAGGTAGGTACATAGGTATAGATAATTCTCGGTTCTCGGTATAGACCACAGAACAATATTACCTACTCTTACGAGGTATACGACTGTTGGGCGATGCAATGTTGATGCATTCTAATTTACAACTGTATTCTTCTACTATTCGGTCTATTTTAACTTATTGTTGATGACTTGTTGAATATTTTAATGCATTCAAGTCTAAGCTCTATACACCCCAAAATAAAATACAATTACTTTAGTGTTATTTCTTTACAAAAAAAAAATCAAAGAAATGAAACGATTTCTAATTGGTTTAAATTTTCGATTTATTGCAGTCAGGTGAATCGTTCATACATGTATCTACATATTTATAATTTTAGCGGACCAGTGCAGATTTTCTGTTTATTGTAGCTCCGGTAGTAAAAAAGACTAAAGAAATTTTAGTAAAGAAACTAGTGCTTAAGATCAATTAGGGAAAAAAACAAAATAAATAATAGGTAATAATAATGAATAAATTTACGTGAATGTATTTAACACTGTACGCAACTGTACCGAAATCGTAAGGTGTATTACACTAAACATTTTAAAAGACAGCCCAATGTACTGGGTGATCGCTTTTTTGTAACCACCTAAACATGGTCGGATTACCACGGACTTGCACCTTCTAATGACTTTTATTTAATTATCTTGTAAATTATTATATGTACGACGCTGAAATTCTACAGGTAGACAACTGAACTTAACAACTAATTATTGGCATAACATTCAGTTTATATATCCACACACAGGTTTATCGGTGGCCAAAAAAGGCCGCACACATTGTGATCGTGAACGTGGAGAGCTACATTTCATCATAACTTTTTAGTCACTTATAGTATTCTTACGAAAATTCGTATACATTTGAAGGTAGTTACAAGCAATAGAATAACGTTTGAAGTAAGTCTTTAGAGGTCTTATTTAAAGTGTTAGGACGTATTGAAGTGTTTTCATACTTACCTAAATAATTTTTAAACGGTCCATTATTTTTGTTATTTTATTGTCGAACAAATTTAAACTAATCCTTAAGAAGTTATGTACAAAAGATGGTTACAATCCGCTTACCCGTTTCAGAGATCCAGCAAACCCACAAACGTTACTCCAGCAGGATTTCGAATAACTTCGCAGCCGAAGAAAATACAAATACCAAATAAGTTGTAACATTTACCTAGTCCAGATAACTAATTATCTAGCTAAAATTTATTTCAATATTACAATTAAAAAAGAAAATGTCTGGCTGCGGTAACGTTTCAAACGTTCCCCAGCAGGAAATGTTTTTTTGAAATAGCTAAAAAAGTTTAAGAGAAACAAATTTAAAAATGTGCCTAACAATTACAGAAGGAGAGCAACTAATTATCTATAACGTTTAAATGACCATTTTCGACATTATTTTGCTGGGGTAACGCACACACAAAAAACTTCTAATTCTCTCCCTCTTAAGCCTTCTGTTTCTATGTTGTAGTATGACTCACGAGTAACAAAAACTAGTAAACAATTAACTAATTTTGTTGTTTATATTTTGCACGGCAGTTTTTAAAAAACGCCAACAACAAACCTGTGATAAGATACCATTTTAAATGCACAACATCAATATAATATGAGTAGCGTCATGTGTTACTTTAAGACCATCAGTTTTTAAGTACTATGGAACTTTTACTAGTGATATTCGATTTTTTATGATCGATGATAAGTGTCTGTTTGTAATGAGATAATAACAGAACAGATTTGTGAAAATAACAGATTTTTATCGTGCTGCCATGGTTATTTACACAATACCTATGCCTAAAACCCAATTTAATTCTTTTTTGGTCTGTCAGTTTGTTCCAGGTAATCTTCAAAACGGCTGGACCGATTTTGATAATATTTTAGTACCAGGACCTGTCTATATAAGGAGTAACTTAGGCTATAAAGTTTTGCCCCGTCTGGGAATCGAACCCACTATGCCAACGCTTTTTAAATTCTACGCGAAAGTAATCGCGGGCAACACCTAGTTTTTAATAAAAGACAATATTCTAAAAATATACCAGGACTGCAAATTTTATGCAACAGTTAAAGGAATAGGCTATTTGTTTTGGTTCCATAAATTTAGAATTCAATAAATTAAATTGTACCAGGTGTAAAAATGCTTACCTTGTGTTCAATAGTGGTTTGCTGGTTCTTGTCTAAGTGCACCTTGATGATCTGTGAGCCATCCAGCTTGATCCTAATACGCTTGCCTACAATTTCAGCAGGGAACACCAAGTCCTCAAGGATGGCGTCGTATACTGACGTCAATGTCCTGCAAAAGAGAATTATAAATATGTATAGCAAATATATAAGCTGTATAATATCACTTTTGGCAAACGTTAACAAGTCACTTAAGAGTCATTGTTATCGTTTTTATAATCGAATCCATATTTACAAGGAAACTAAATCTGATTAAAATTATATATTTATTTTTCTTTTTGGAAAGCGGCCGCTTAAACCACTACGCCATATGTGTGCTTTACCTGTGGCCTTCGCTCACGTTCATGTGTATTTTGTAAATCTATGTTATCTTGATGAAAAGATGCCTATGTGCGATCCCAGACTACTAAATTTTTGTGCCAAATACTTTATATTCACACATACACCCATCCACCAACTTTTGTGTGACAGGACAGTCATAACTCCTTTTAGATAAACATATTGCTTAAAAGCCTTAAGATATAATGTAAGCCAATATGTTTTGGACAGTCTGTCTTATTTGTTTTTCTTTTCTTCATTTATTTTAGCTTCTAGCCTTCAGTATCCATACTTTTATTGCTTTATTTGAGGACAACAAGTTACAAGATCTGGTTTTTATATATTTATTTTAGTAAACAATGGATGTGACTGACAGAATGCAATTCAGCTTTGTTGCAAATGTTTTTGCAACAGGTTATTATTATAAAAAGGCAAAGGCAATTTTTAAACTCTTCTATGAAACATAAATATAAAGTTAGGAAGCTATAATATAAAGTTAGGAAGTAAATTTAATTTATTTTTTATGTAGAAACTCTTTTGAGTGTTTGAAAAGTGTGTTAATTCATTTTTATTAAATGATCATAATGCATGGGAGTATATATTATCATCAGCAGCCTTTAATAGTCCACTGCTGGACAAGAAAGCCTTCCTTAGAAAGGTTAGGTTTTGGCCTACTATACCACACTGGCCAGACAGGTTGGTATAGAGTTTGTGTCAAGTTTTCGTTCTCTTTGCGGTGCTGTTGTCTTGTAGAGTTTGCTCCCTTACGTCAGCCCTTACAACACCCACTAAATAAATAGGTGTGGTGACACTCTGTATTCTTAATCCGTCACCACCGTACATTATAATACCTAATTGAAGTCCAGTTGGAAGAAGTAGGATACAGTTAGCACCATACTTCATACACAAGGACTTAGATCTATTTTATCCTATTGTAAAATACAATGAGGGTCTTGTCTGCTGTTTTTTGTAATTTGTGATGGATGAATGTGTTTCTCAGTCCCAGGGTGTTTGTGTGCATGTTGGGGCACTTTCGCACAGGTGATATGCTTTTCCAGAAAGCGTGAGCCACCCTGCGTTTTTCATGTGCGAGGCTTAAAGCACAGTTACACTACAGTTGTGGCAAATAGGAAATTTTGTGCTGTGAATTCTTACCTAGATCTGGGCCTCTTCTGTTTGTTGGCTACACGTGTCTTGTGGCTGGGTTTGGGGAGAATCTTGCGGTCTCCAACAAATACTACATGTTTGCCACTGAATTTCTTCTCAAGCTCACGGACCAGCCTGATTTGGATCTTCTGGAATGCCTTCAGCTTGGGCATGGGCACATAGATGATGATAGACTAAAAAATAAAAATTGGAATGGTTTTCTTTTGAATCATTGAACATTCAAAACTACTTCACTAACAAGTGCTCCTAAAATTTATTTTCTATTGACATCTTATGTTTAAACTTAAAGTTACGATGTTCATAATTTTTGATAGATTTGTACTTGCCATGTTAACCTTATAAAAAAGAAACAAGTTTATGTTAGACTAACATTAGACATGAATCAAGTCATTTATATGAAGCAAACAGATTTTCCATATTTACGTGTTGACATTGTAATAACATCAAGTATTATATAGCACAATTTGATTGATTAAATAAAACATACTCAAGATTTTTTTACTGATAAAACAAATTAAAAGTAATATGGCAGTGGCATCAGTTTTATTTCAATGTAGACAGTATAAGTGTGTAGTAGTTTATTGTTTGTATTTGTTTGAAAGCAACTTGACAAAAATAATCAACATTAATACCAGACTAACACCAGCAAATATTTTAAATGAAAATAAGTATAAAATACAGGGATATCAATTTTAATTGGTTGTAAGCAAACTTAAGATCATGCTTGTTTCACCTCACATGTTTAGGGGTAGGTATGTGCTTTGCTTAATGTTGGATAAGTTTGAGATCACACTGCCATGTGTGAGATATGTGAAGTTCATTTCTATAGAGTAAGGTTCTCTCTAAATCATCAAAAGATTAAGGTCCATTGTTACAGATTTTCGAATAGTTTGGTGTCTACTAAAGAATAACAATCAATTCATCTGATATGAATATGCATCGATTTGACACTATTTACTTTGATATATAAATCGGTAGTTTTTATCCCTATTAATAAAACTTAAGCTTTCATTACCTTCTTGTTGTGAAGTTCGATTTCCTTAGCCTTGGTAATGTAAAGCTCCCTGAGCTGCGCCTTCAAGTCAGAGTTGGTCTCCAACTCAACCAACGCCTGCGAGATCGAGGTCTCGAAGGAGTCGGGCTCAGCGGCGCTGGCTTTGATGATTTTAGTACTCATCTGCAACGTACAAACCGTGAATTACTCCACCATTCCAAACTTATAGGTTAGGAATCTTAACTTCACAATCTCTACCAAGTTTACAAAACTTTCACTAAAAGTTTTAGCCACAAGTGCACATCCTCGTTAGATACACATTTATAGGAAGAATATATTTGAGTATACAAGTTTGTAACACTTTCAATAACCAAAACAACGTTGGACATAGATGGAACATATTTGTCACCGCGATATATCTAAGTAATCATTACCGTTATGGAATAGTTATTAACGTGCGTGTATCAAAGGATTATTGTAGAAATAGAATCACTCAGTATTTGTTAAATAAAACGCCTAAATATATAAAAATTAAACAAAAATTCTTAAGGACAGCTACCTTGAGAACTGTACGGGAGAGAAAGAGATAGACACGCAATGTTGACAGCCTACAAATTTAAAGCAACTACCAAATGTCAAACAAATAGCTACTATGTCAAAAAAACAAAAATTTTCTAACATCAAATTGTGTGCACTGTTGTTTTCATTCAGATTCTGTTAATTAAATTATAGATTTAAATTCTTTCAATATTGTTTTACCTTATAACACATTTTGTGAGTCAAGATTGCAAGATTTTTAAAACGCTTCTATGAAATAATTGTAACATGAAGTAACTCCCAATGTCACTTTAGGCTGCAAATTCCGTACACCAACCCTAGGAATTGTTTTTAGGAACATAATTGTTTGTAGAACTGTCCCGTTAGTTATGAAACAATATTTTTGAACAAATGCTGCAATTTTCACAGGACATCACGCTCAAGATTTTAGATTAATTTTACAACTCTGGAGCAGCAGTGACCCACGAACACACCGAGTTATGACACTCGAGAAGTCCCAGGAAAAAACTAAACTGTCTTGAAACCCATAACGAAATTAATCAGAAGAAAATTGGAGGAGTTGGAAATACAGTAAATCCACTTCCCTCCTTACCAAAGCGGGCGACAAAATGAAGTAAATAGGCATACACGCTTTTTTTTATTCTGCCAGAATCGCTTAAACCTTGTTGACACAAGATCCCTATAGTATACCGCCCCAGATGTCACCTGCACGCTATTCAGCATTATATTACGTTAATTTTACCAAAGACTACATTCCCAGGGGATGTGATGAGCAGATTGTTCACAGTTACAATTATGTGTTGAGCATTGACACAATGGTGACTCGACTAATTTAAATGAATACAGTTTGCTTTTAAAGTTACCATGACCGCAAGCCATGTCCTCGGCAAACGTTCGCGAACAGATGGAAAGAACTGGTAAAGGTGGCTCACCTTAGGTAATTCGTCTTAGCAAAGTTGCCATTCGTCTATAAGGTCAGTAAAGACATTGGAGTGCTGTTAAAGCGATCTTGTAATTTATCGCGATCTCGAAAAATTACATTCCATGTTTTGTTGGCTGCACGTCTCTGCACGTCGAGATCGACCGGAAGCACACCTGCCAACACAGACAAAGCGTCAGTGCTAACCGTCCTATATGCCTTGCACAAGAATATAAGTGCAAGTCGTTGGTCTTGTAACAGTATGCAACGGACAGCGCAACGCACTGTCGGCCAAATTCAAGATATGTTTATTGTCAGAGAATGATAAAATCATGGAAAAACATGAACATCTTCCATCAATTCTATCATTCTGATTTTTGCGAAGAATATCGCTAAACTTCATGCTATGTGCAAGCTTTGTTTTTCTCCCATGTAGTTAGTTTTTTTTTCCATATTACGTTGCCCAGAAACTCACACATATGCTCTCCCTTGGTTCCAATTATGGCAGTAGTTGTTCAATAAAATGCGGACAGTCTTTGTCCTAAGAAACATGTGCTTCTCAACTTAATTAATTCTTTTATTCCATCAGTTATCGCCATTTCGCAGACATGGCTGGTGTCTGGATCCCAATTTCGGGTTCCAGGGTACTCGCGTCTTCGGACTTACAGAAACAATGGATATGCAGGCAGCGCCTTACTTATTAAGCGTTGCCTTTCGTTTAATTAAACCCCTATATCCCCGAACATTAATATTACGAGTATAGCTGTAAGGGTTCTTAACATTACTTTTCTCTCTGCCTACATCCCTCACCCTCACTCTAGTTTAATGCCTGATATTTTATTAATTATCTCTTCGGTCCCTTCATGCTCAACACTCATCTTGGAGATGTAGGCATGATGATGCCATTGGTCTCTCTCTCTTAGAAATTCTGGATGACTCACTCTTTGTATTATTAATGATAGCTCCCCTACTAAAAGAGTTTTACCTTCTCAAAACCCTAAATCGACTCTTGTTCTTACAATATGTTCCGCATCTTTGGCCATAGCATGGAATATTCTATCCCACTCTTATGTCTGTGATCATTTCCCCATTCTCATGTCGATTTCTAACAGGGTATCTCCCGTGCGTAGCTTTTACCCAACCTTATAGAATAGTAGAAACCAATTGGCCTTTATTTACATTTTGCCTTGAAAATTATTTAGCTGATACTATATATATTTACTATTTTATTTATTTAAATCCCATAATTGAAACAACATAATTAAAACAATGGTATATTTTTTTGGATTCCAAAAGCTGCCTTCAATCTAATCTATCAAAGCCATTCCGATCCAAATCCTATTGTCCCTAAAATTAGACATCTTTTATTTCTATGTCGGGGACTGAACATAAATATTGTAAAAATTGCTCTATACAGGCTCTCATGACCACACAGAAATATACTCTTATGATATCTGTGCATCCCTTAAATCACAGCTGTTTGATTCGTGGTCTAGATAAGTGTATAACTTTAAACAAAATTAAATTATAGTTTCAATATCACAGTGTAATATATATATATATACTCGTGGACTAGTTTAAGTTTTATCATGCCTGTAAAAGACAACAATTTCTTCATTCTTATTCTTTCATTCTCAGATTTTTTTTTGGCTCTATCACAGCTCTACATAAAATCCTTTTACAATTTGTCTTTCAAATACATGACATTGGCAAAATTGTGGTTACACCTGGTTATACTCTACCACAAAGCCATTAATGAAAAGTTGAAGTTGGCATTCAATTGTCATATGTCACTGTCACCTGTCTTTGCTTTAGTGATATAGTACTTTCCGGCAAATTCGTACATTATTTTGAAGAACAATATTTATTTATATATTATCTGCAAATAATAATCTCAAACTTAGTTTTTAACTATTGTAAATAATTATATTGTTTAATTTAAGTTTTACATGTTGTAATAATATAAACGTTTTGTTTATTATTTGCACTTTACCGTGATGTATTGTATCAATTGTGTAAACAAACCTTGAATTCCATAGAAGGCGTGCTACATGAAGTTCTTACTGAAATAATAATGGCTTCCACAGAAAATGGGTGAGTTATATATGTACTTCGAAACGATTACAAGCATTATAAGAACTATAACTAAAGAAACTAAAAGAAAAGATAGATATATATCATTTCGCTCTAAAGATATATATCACTCATCTAGCACACTAGCTCATTTAGCTCACTAGCTCAGTGATCCAATTCAATTGGTCTCTCAACTGATTCATTACTTCGTCTTGATCATTTAGCTCAGGAGATATCACTCACTTCAAACCTCTCTCGCTCATAAAAACTTTTCTTTTTCTCAAAGTAATCTTTATTCAGTTCTTGTTCATTTTAACCTATGTTTTTCAAAAACAATTTTTATTCATTTTCTTAAGACTACATAATATATATTAACACCCTTTTATAAAATAATTAAAAATAATAAATATGTATACTTAATTCTTTTTTTGACTTTTTATATGGTTGTATATTAGAAATAATACATATTAAATTTATTTTCCTTTACACTTGGCAGGATTAGCTCTCAAATAATAATTAAGTAAAGTTAAAATTTGATCCTTTAAAAATTATGTACATTTTGCCTAAAGAAACTAACTTAGCGTGACCTCAACCATCATTTATCTTTAGTCTCACACACTCTCTCTGACAAAGATCGGCGTAGTTGAGCTAGTGAGTTACTGATACATTCGGAACTAGTGTGAGTGAGTGATACATTTTATCCACGTAAATGATATACCTACATCTTTTAGATCACTCAGGAGCTACACAACTCTAATTGTCTCTGAGAATGCAAATCTGTCAGATCATTTATTATAAAATTAAATTTAATTTCAATGAAAATTTAACAACTTAAAAAAGTTTGCAAGAATAACTCAACCAGGTGAAATAACCAATTTTAGAAACTGTTTAAAGTTCAATACTTGACTGAAGTCTTGGCAGTTATATTTCTAATGGCATGACCCTTACACATGGTCTTCTGATCTCAAACTAGACAGCTAGGATCTGTCTAGTTTAAGATCAGTATGGTATGGTAACTACTCGTAGACTGCTGATAAAATATCCTGTTATATTTTTTAAAACATAGGTCATCACATCACATCATTAACAGACTTTAAATTCTTAATCTTTCACCACATGGACGGACAAAACATAGGTATTACAGAGAAATTACATACAGACACAAAACAAATGATTTGCTTATTACACAATAATTTGTCTACTGTATAAATACTGGTAGTTCTTGTCACCCACCGTACTCACCGGACCTTGCCACCATCAGATTCCTACTTTTTTTTATATTTGTCAATTTTATAGGTGAGATATAATTCCATACCCGAGAGGCAGTACAAAACGCTTTCGCTGACTTCATTGTCTCCCGCCTTGAGGGATAAGCAAACTGCCATCAAAACGGCAAAATTGGATAGATACTTTGATCAGCTGCCCCCTCTAACATAAAAAAGAGCTAAAGTAAAAAAAGAACCAAAATTGTTTTATTTAAAATTTTGATACAAATCTCCAGCTTCATAGGTAAAGACCTAATACTTATATGATTACGAAATGAAAGTTTTGCAAACTCAAGTGTAATTCATATTAAGGTAAATGGATTGCTTTTGAGGCTCCGTTGTCAGAGTTTGTGCTTTTACTATAATTATAAAATATATGTAATATATTATTTTATTTTGTTTTGTGAAATCCTTCAGTGTCAATTTTGACTTCTCATGATAATTTAGGCCCTATATGCAGCTTTGAAAAAGATGCACTAATACTGCTGATGAAGTGGACTTCGTCGTCGTAGGAAAGTATTAATTTTAACATATTCATGATCCTACTAATATTATAAATGCGAAAGTAACTCTGTCTGTCTGTTACGATTTCACGCTAACCGATTTTGGTGAAGGACATAGGCTACTTTATCTACGTCAAGAAGTGGCTGGAGCCACGGGCAAAAGTTAGTGTAGTAATAAATCTAAAATATTTTGCAGTAAGACAATCTGAAACATTACTTCTTACAATGCTTTACAAAACAACTTGATACAAGTGCTGATAATGTAATCTGCTCATAATACTAATCCTTCCATACCTAGCACACGTTATAACACTTCTCATTGTTCTTGTACTACAATGTACCACGCTTTTCAAACGGAGTTACTGTAATCTCCTTTGAGAGTTAAACATTAATGCTTACATCAGATATGTGTATGTAGATTTCGAAAACTATTTAAAAAATACGCTTCGAAAAGTATTTAATAAATTAAATGTAAAAGATCGTCCCTTATGAAACGATCGTCCCTTTAAATGAATCGGTCGGTGGTATATTTTTTTAAGTAAGCAATTATACATATATGGATCCAAAGGATAGGTTTCAATAGTTCTGGACATCTTTCAGGTCTGTTTTTTGATGTCTCACAGAAGATATCCTCGCAGTAGTTTTGGTTAAAATGAGACAATCAATGATTATTGCACTAAACTCTTAAATGATTTTAACGTCCAATCTGACTATTGGGAACCAGTTGACTAAAAACTGTACACACACAGTTTTTCATTTTTCGATTTACGCAGCGCTTCCTGTTTTATAAGCTAGATATGTTTGTTTTATATTATGGCGTACAATTTGATAAGAGCTCTCCACAGTGTCCTCACAGCCGTCTGGTGGCTAACTCGCTCCGAGTTACGTATAAAAACAGTATTTGTTCTTTTTAATTCAAAGTGAAACTACTCAAAAAGAAAAGACGTTTGCTGACTTATATCAACGAAGTTCTGTTTCAGAAGATTGACGTGAGTGTTACACTCGATTAAATAAATAAAATGATAATGTATTATTTCCTGCACCTTACGAATGTTGGAGTGATTATGTAGCTATACATTTAGAAATATTTATAAAACTGTACTGAATGTGTTCATTTTAAATATGTTTCCTTTGAGTTTATCGCAGCAAGTGTTTTGTCCTTGTCCAATCGATAACCTAATTTTATGTTTAGCATTTCTAATTTTGGGAATTTAAATTCCTTATATTATTACATTCTCATAGAAATAAAGTAAAACACTTTATGCGTGCATGCATACTAAGGTGCATGCTTTGCTTATTTTATATTTATCTAATTTCTTCATTTGTATCCGTGTGGTGATTATTAATAATAATAATACGGAGTGTCACCAACAGCATTGCAAAGAGAAGAAATACTTGACACGACCCCTACACTAATCCGTCTGGCCAGCGTAGTATAGTAGGCCAAAATCTCCCTTCTAAGGAGAGGGCCATGTCCAGCCGTGGACAAATTAAGGCTGTTGATGATCTAATTTATAATATCGTAAAAATTTTAGCTCTATAAAGTCCGTTGTCCGTTTGTTAAACTGTAAATCAAAGCGGTTCTACAAATAGTATAGGTGTTATGAAATAATTCCTATACATATATGTATACATAATAATATATTCTAAACATAATTTTGAACAGATTGATAATGTAATGTGATATAACAATGAATACCCGAAGGCGTTTGGCACACAAGATAAAATATAGAATACTCGTGTTTTTAGAGTTCCTTACCTGAAATGGAAAAAAGCGGTACCCTTATAGGATCACTTTGTTGTTCGTCTGTCTGTCTGTCAAGAGCCTTTATCTCGGGAACGCGTCTAGGTATCGAGTTGAAATTAAAACCATATACTCAGGTCTTCATTCCCTTGAAGCTGTAAAAAATCCAACTTACAGTACTAAGTAGTATTGTAAGTTGGAAAAAAAACGGCCGTTTACGCCGCAAAAACTGCATACTTCGCAATGCACTCTCAAGGGAATTAAAATTCATAGGGTACTTCCCGTTGACCTAGAATTATGAAATTTGGCATGTAACATCGTCTTATACTAAAAGTACATAGAAAAATCTGAAAACTATACATTTGTAATTAAATATAAAAAAATTGTCTTTATTTAAAGTTAGGTTATTGATACAAATAAGGCCTATGCTCAATTAAAGCCTGTAGTGCCGAAAAGTCATTTAAAATATATTTACATCAAAAATACTTCTCACACACATAGACTTTTCTTACATAGATTATGACATTTCTGAAGTATCAAGTACTAAACAAGGCCTAGCTGTAATAATAGGCTTTATTTGTGTCCCGGGGCCTTACGAGGAGTCTGTCGAATTTTAACCTCCTCTCCAAGACCAAAGTGTGCTACGAGGTCCGAAGAAAGCTTGGCAGTTAATGATGATTTCGTTATGTTTCAATGCTTTATTTAGTTACCTTGCCCTTATAAGGCCTAGCAAAGTTTATCAAATTTTTAAACATTTTGTAATATTTTTGGGATGTGTTAATTTGCTAATTTTATTTTGTATACATAGGTTTTTTTTGTACGATTATTTATTGAGAAATGAGTGTTTGAAATAAGGTAGGCCTTATTTGTATCACTTACTTTACGTCATCAATGATCGAGGTACAATTTCACTTATAAAACAGTAATATCAGTAATTATAGGTTTTAGAAAGTGAATTTCGGGAAAAGCTCGGCAAAAACTGCGAGACTCGATTCCTGAACTATTTATAATATGTACCTACAAATTGTCCGGTTTTTTTTTTTAATTTAACTATATTTAGATTAAAAAGGAATGGGACAGGCTTGAGGTAGAAACACTAAGTAAAAAATATTTTATTTTATAAGTTAAAGTATAAAGGAAGCAACTTAACTTCAAAAATAAAAAAATAATGATTTTTCATACCTAGTCACATTAAAAACAAAACTAATTTATAATGTCTCCATGAGAACAGAGATCTAATGCAATTAATAAAATAAATTTCTAATAAGCATTGTTAGTAGTAGTTCTCATCCCACAGATTAAAATGACAATTAAAAAAAAACTGGTCAGGTACGTGTCGAACTGCGTGAACGTGCCGAGGGTTCCGTACCTACCCAGATTTTAGGTAAATTTTCGCGAAAATTTGTAAGTACCAAAATTTATCTTAATTTTCAACTTTTATTATTTTTTGGAATTATTCCTTTATTTGTGCTGTAAGACGTTTCTTTTTGCCAAATTTCGTGATTCTAAGTCAACGGGAACTACCACATAGGTTGTCGATTACCTATAGGATACTTCAGGTTGACCTAGAATTGTCAATTTTGGTTAAAAGCAAGGTCTTACAGTACAGTACAAGCTTTATTCATTTAAATTAGTCGAGTCACCATTGTGTCAATGCTCAACACCTAACTCTCACTATGAACAGTCTGCTCATCATATCCTCTGGGAATGTAGTCTTTGGTATAATGAACGTAATATAATGCTGAATAGCTTGCAGGTGACATCTGGGGCGGTATACTATGGGGATCTTGTGTCAACTAGGGTGAATTTCCGTGCGTTTAGGCGATTCTGCCATACATATTATAGAAATCAAACATAGCTCACGTAGGACCCGTAATATTTGTGGCCGTGGTGCTTCCCTGTTTAAAAGGGTGTATGCCCATTTTACTTCATTTTGTCTCCCGCTTTGCTAAGGAGGGAAGTGGATTTACTGTATTTCCAACTCCTCCAATTTTCTTCTGATTAATTTCGTTGCGGGTTCCAAGACAGTTTAATTTCTTCCTGGGACTTCCCGAGTGTCATAACTCGGTGTGTTCGTGGGTCACTGCTGTGGATCCTGGTGTACAGGAGTTACAGTGGTGGGCGTGTGGGTGGGATTAGTACAGTACACAAGTAAAGAGAAAATCCGAAAAAAAAAAAATGAAAATTAAGGTAAATTTTGGTACTTCGAAGTTTTCGAGCAAATAGAAATTTGCCCATATCTTCTATCGTGTTGACTCAGGACCTTGATTTTTATACACCTAATAGAGACCATAGCTCAGTATCTGGTATAAATTTCAACTTGCTAGGTCTACCCGTTCCTGAGAAAATCGGTGGTGACACACGGACAGACGGACAAGAAAGTGATCTTATAAGGGTTCCTGTTTTACCTTTTGACCATAAAAAAGACGAAAACAAAACACTTTGAAGTGATAAGTAAAGGAAGTTCTATCTTAATGTGTACGTACGTAAATTATGCCAAAATATTCCAATCAACTTTAGTTACTAACAATGATACATTAGTGTAGTAGTTACTAATACAGTGGTTTTACGTCGTCGATTTTTTTCGAAGTTCCTTATCGCGCGTTACACTCTCTGAGCGGAAGGGAGCGAGACTAAAAAATGTGTAACAATACTTTTTACAACACTTCTTGCTAGATAGTTACAGCCGTGTATAATAGCAAACTACTACCAAAATGCCAAAGAAACTTCGTTCTGACCGGGGATCCATAGACCCCTCACACCGTTTTTAAATATTTTCAATCTTAAATAGTACTAGCTGACCCGCGCAACTTCGTCTGCGTCTGTCAGTAGTACTAAATTTTCTCCGTTTCTGAAACATTCTTCATTGGTGCTCCGCTCCTATTGCTCTTAGCGTGATGATATATAGCCTATAGCCTTCCTCGATAAATGGGCTATCTAACACTAAAAGAATTTTTCAAATCGGACCAGTAGTTCCTGAGATTAGCGCCTTCAAACAAACAAACAAACTCTTCAGCTTTATAATATTAGTATAGATTAGATCGCCGCATTGCCTTCCAGATTACATTAAAAAAAATAGACTATTTTTGGCCCTCTACTGACACCGAAATCAGCGATATCCATATAAAGGTATTTAAGTAGGAGACTATAAACATATGTGTTATTATTCCCATTACAAAAACGTTAATTTACTGATAAAACCTACCTAACACATTCTCGGAATGAATATGACGTCAAAGTGAAGTAAATGAACAAAAAACGTCGTTATCTTTCTTTACATACATTTTAGTTCTATATTCTAATTTAATTTAAATTAACTTATTTGATTGTTATATCAAATTAATTTGCCATGAATTTAGCTTTATTTGGTCTTGTGGCTTGTTATCCTGACTGCTACATCTGAAGGCGTAAGTTCGATTCCCACCTAGGATATATAACTTCCATTTGTCCTGTGCATGAGTGTCATTTATCTATATTATATACTAGATGGTACCCGCGACTTCGTTTGCGTGGAATTTGAAAAGCGCTGCCTTAGTGTAGTACGGCACGCGACTGCAGTCCATGAGGCCTCGGGTTCCATTCCCGTACCGGACAAAATTTTATAGGGTTATTCTGAGAGGAAAAATAGCCTAAAGTTAGTTTTTATATACACAGCCGATTTGAAAATTACATTGACAAAAAATATTTAAACTGGGTTAGGCATAGGTATCGTGCAAAGCATCGTTTGAACATGAAAAATACCTATTATTTTGACATTACAAACAGACACTTCAATTTTATTTATTTCTACAAAGTATTTATTAAAATACTTACATAAGTATGGTGAACAGAAGTCTGGTTACCATAGTACAGATTCTACCTAATTTGGGTTTAGACGACTGGGTGTGAGATGTGTCAAGTCATTATACTTATAATATCTAAAAGAATGACCCGAAAATAATGTAAAATACCACTCAGCTTCAATACCTGCAACAAAGATACATGGAGTAATAAGAAAATATTGAAAACTAATAGGCAAACAGCCTTATATCCCTGAAGCAATCGATCTTAGAGAAATTCCAATTTTAGAAATTGTACTTGCTTTGGCAGCGTATTAAAATTGGAACAATACAGAGAAGAAAAGCATGGCCCCAGCGCAAAGATAACACGCAAACTCTTGAAGCGTTCCACATTTTTGCATGTTGTGGCTACTAGTAATTAAGTTAACATTTAATATGTTCTATTATGAATTAAGATAGTATTAAG